TCATGTGGTCTGAGACTACTGGATTTTCTCCTGTGACAGGGGGCAAGGCCTCAGCTCAGCTTTAGCCTCCAGCTCTTCAGGGCCCAGGACCCTTCCCCCGCACCTCCTTCCAGTTCTGGGCTTCAGTCTGTCTGCTGAAGATCTGCCTCCACAGGCTGAGTCTCCAGAGGGCAGAGAACTGACCTGGGATGAAAATCACAGTTTCCTTCTTCTGGCCGAGCAACGTGTTGTTGATGGAGCAGGACATGTTCCTCACGGAGGAATCAACGATGATCACAGCCGTGGTGACCGTGAAGAGGCCGTCTGCGTCTGCCGTGTAAGTCTCCTCCAGGGCGGGCATGACCTCACCATCGGGGTCCCTCCACACCACACGGGGCTCGGGGTACCACCCTCCAGATGTGCACTCCAGCCGGATGCCCCTGTCCTCGTGGCCCTTCATTTCAATGAGGGGCTTAGATCCCAGGCCTGAGGGGACAGACCAGGCTCAGCTACAAAGGCAGGGGTGTCTCAGTCAATGTGTCCTAGAGCAGCTCTTAATGGTGGGCATCCAGGGAAGGGGGAGAGAGCAAGTGGGCTGCACCCAGCCAACCTGAATGTGCATGTCCCAAGCGTTCCCACAGGACCCTTCTGTGAAGGGACAAAGGAAGGAAGGAAAAGAGGGACCAAGAAACAGGAAGGAGGAAAGGAAGGATGAAGGGAGCAAGAATGAACCTTGATGCTGGAGAACAATAGAACAATGTGACACTATATGGGAAACAAACTCTGAGCTCCTTGAGGAGAAAATCACACTGGACACTCTTCACTGTGCTCCACCTACAGGCCCCATCACAGCAGCAAGCATCTCTCTGTCTATGATAAATGCTTGTTGTTCAATTTGTTCTGCCAAACACTATCATTTTTTTCACTTCTGGGTGGGTATGTCCAGTTTAACATGAAAGGGGCAGGTTTAGGATTTCACTTTTTCGTCCTAGGATGACTTCTCAGTACACTGGGTTTCCTAAATCTCTAGAATAATACAGCAAGGACAGAAACCTACCAGGATGACAGAATATTAAGAAACCTTATGATGAAAGACAGTGTCCCTTCTATGCAGGTTCAGGGCTTCACAGCACCACCGCTATCTACTACCCACAGGAGCTGGTGCTTCCAAGAGAATGGACAGAGCTGGCCTGCAAAGCCAAGCCTTACCCTGATTCACAGAAGTTTACCCACCAGGGGCTCAGTCAATTAGCTAATTCAGTTATAGTCCGTTGAGAACATCAATGTGTTAGAAAGATCTGGATGCTCCTGGGATATCCTTAAGATGACTCTGTGACATCCTCGATGTCAGAA